TTTTTCAACCAAGAACAAGTGGACGCTAATAATGTTTTTTATCGATCTTGATACACGACTTTAATTAAATCATGAAGATGGGCCTACTCGCGTCTTACCGCAAAGTCCGTTACCTTACTAATTCGTATTTCTCTCGGCAGTGGCGCTAGTAGCGTTATACGATTTATTTGTTTCTTTGAACGACTGCTTGATGCACTCTGGCCCGTTTTATTCAACGCGGTTCAATGCATAAACTCCGTTTATCTTCAAAATACAAGTGTATAATTGGCTAACAGTACAGTTAAACGAGTTTATGCATTGAACCGCGTCGAAGAAAATGGGCGTCTATAATTTACAACCTCTGCGTATTCGTGAGAAAGTAAAAGTGAGATGGGAGACGAAGAAACAATGGAAAGAATATTATTTGAGTATACAGTCCCTTTGAATGGGACCTTTGACATTTCACATGTGCACAGCTTTACCCTGCAGTGAGTTTTATCCATGAAGCATTACGTATATATATATAATATAATTAATCACCCACGCACTTCTGTCGCACCAACTTCAAATACCATTTCTATACTACATCCATGCACGAACTTCACCATATTTCAAGTACCTATCTGGTCCTGACGTAGATCTCGTGTAAGCAGAACTTACAATCAAGTTCCAGTCTATGAAATTCACGAAGAGAACGTGTGGATTACAATACCCGTATCTAACAGGAACAGTTCGTCTTGTGGGAAGTGTATGTCGTAGATCGTTTAGTGTTACGCCAAGTCGACCCTAATTTACGTTATACCCTCTCAACGGTTCAAATACTCAGGACCGTTCTTAAAGGAAGAATTATAATATCCCATTAACGAAGAACAAATTATAATAAAAATTTCGTTTTTTTTTCGGAATTCTATATTATAACGGATAACATTTTTTGTTCTTATATTCTTCGGTGCTCACAACACTCAGGAATTCGTAGCCTGCTAAAACATACTCAGCCGTGTTTAGGTCACGAGTTCCTCAGATGTTTTAAAAAAGCGATATTTATTTTCCTGGTCACCGTAAAATAAACTCTGCTTCCTTCCTCAGTGCTCAATATTCAGATAGGTTAAAAATAACGATCGACCTACGTCTAACAAGCCTGAACACCTGACGCAGGTTTTACTCGATAATTACGAATACTTACGTCCATCATAAATTTGATACTCGCAACATCCATTATTACTTAGTAAAACTTATTATTCTTCATATTTTCGAAAATCATTAATCACGTGGATCGCACTCTGGTTTTGGAAGAAAGATTCAATAATTTTAGAGAAGGGGTATCTCCATTCGCTCCCCATCTTCATCTGTCATGAGCTTTTTGGCTATTGTCTATTTTTAAGTTAATCATTCCAACGAGGTCAAATGACAGAAACGTGGATGTCTTGGTACTTTTCTATTTTTAACATTTATCTTTGTAGACAGTTCTGCGATGAGGTATACTCCCATTTATTGGGTATGTCTGTGCTTAGGGACTTGTATATTATATAATCAATCCGTTCCTAATAAATTTACTAGAATTAATGTCCGTGCACTTCTCACCCCATTTTCCTTAATTCCAGCTCGAAAAAGCCAATCGTCGTTTCTCGCTCTGATAATTGATTAATTAAATCGTTAACCGTTAAATCATAGAACTAAACCTTTGTTTAACCGTAAACAGTAAAACCGGACTTGAAACATTTTTCGGAGTTTTACCTTGTCTGAGTACAGTTTCTGGCAAGATCGCAGTCTGTCACTGTGAAATAATACATTACCCGGAAAAGCTTTGTCCGATATTAAATTATTAAGCAAGGAAAATTCGTCAGATCCCCTGTATAAAAATTTCGAAATCCGATCTCCAGTTATTACATGACCGAAATGAAAAAATTTGAATTTATGCATTTCGTGGACAAAAACTCACTTAGTACAAACACACTCACGAAGTACAAATGTAAGGAAAAGAGAGTTTTCAATCTTAATTTAATTATGGTGAAAAATGAAATTTGACGGTTCCGCTTAAATCTTGTTGAATCTCCCTCCATCTATCTTCCTTTCAAAATTATTAATCTAGAGTCCATTTCCTTTGCCCCAGTGCATTACGTCCACGTTTCTATACGATATTTACTTCAACCTCCCATTTATACAGTTCTGTACATTTTACCAGAATCAGTTAGCTATTTGCAAGGTTAAAGTCCTTCGTTACAGAATCCTGGATACATACATAAGTATAGATGAAAAGGATGTGCAGGAGCAGAATATTTACGGGCTGGTGAGCATCGTGAAATATTTCCAGATGTCTACTTACTCCAATTAACTTCCAAAGGAAAACTTATGCTATTCCTTCATAGGCACATACATATGTATCTAAATACATTTTGTATACCTGTTTCCTATTTTATTTCAGACGTTCGACTAGCATCAATGCGTCCCAAATTTCTTTGTTAATGGGAAATATATTTTCGTTCAAGAACCTGAAAGCTTTTCCACCTAGTCTGAACCAGTCGATACAGACGACAGGGACGTTACGAGTTACGGATGGTTTTTCCTCGAGATTGAAAGGTAAATACTGATTTCTATTGAGCGAGGTGATTGTAATGGTTGACTTATCCCTTTCAATTTATTACAGCTGGAGTTGCAGGTGAAAAGGTTCTATGATATGTGTCAATATCACGCGTCAAATTTCAACAGAGATTTCCTGACAAGATCCCTCGTGTACATTTTGCAGTCAAACCTAAAATTTTGGCAGATATTCGTCAAATGGCGAAGACAGCCAGATGGATAATTAAGACAGACAATTAGTTTAATTTCAAGGATACACTGGAAAGGTACGCCGATGCAGAACTAAGGATCGTCCCTCGTAGTTTATAATTCAATTGGGCGATGTTCGGTCGAATATCTAATAATCGTCTTCGGAGACCACCGTTTACCAAGAAAATTGTTTCCTGCGGAGAGACACGGCTCTGATATACCGCATCAAATTATCTAACGACTTCGGCTTTAACTATGTTAATTACAAAGTTTCGCATCATCCCTGACCCTTGTCAACGACAAACGGATATGGACCTTCTGAACTTTTAAGGTTAAGGTGGGCGTTTGATTTGCAGCAGTAAAAAATAATGTGAAATTTGACAGGTGTCTTTATCAGTGTTTATAGGGAATTCATACATTTTTTTTAGTAAATTTATATAACACATACGTAGAATCAGCTGAATACTAATTGCTAAAAAAACATTATTTTATTCTGGTTCACGGTGTTTCTCCTCTGCTAGATCTCAAAAAAAAGTATGTATTTTTGTTCTACACAAGTCGTCGCTATGGAAGGGCCCGTCAGGGAATAAAATATTGAAAAATAAGAAAATTACGGAATTTTGAAAAACTGTTGCATTTATTGCTATTAGCACAGTGAAAAATAATTATTTTGAGAAAAAAGTTTTTAAAGATTTAGAATGAGTTTTTATGAGAAATATTCAAGAAAAAAGCAGAGTCACTTAAAGACAACAGTCAATTCGTTATTGGCGGCGAGCTTTTCAACTGGTGCACTTGCGAATACTATTTTTCACGGTGTGAACGTCTCTTAAAGCCATACAGCGTGGGTAGATTTATCAGAGAGCTGACAGCCACGCAATAGAGCAGTCGCATTTGCCTCTTATCGAAAAGTAATTTCGCTAGAGTCCATTCATGATAATTCGAATTGACCCAATCCCATTTTCTTCGTCATACGAAAGGCGGCAATTGTGAACGCGTCCTTATGTCAGATTGATTTATAATATCTGTTAAGTCTTCTGTGCGAATTATATATGAACAATGCGAAATTTCAAGTCTTGCGGAAAAAATAACCTACCGGCAGTTAATGAGATTGAGAATCTCGTTGTTTCGTGACCTCAATAGAGAAATGTGGGGACAACGCAGTCGGTCGACTTTATCGTGTTAAAAATCAACTCTTGACATATTCGAGTAGCGGAGTAGCTGACGTTAAAATTAATGTTAAACTCTTTTCGCGAGACTGTATTCCTCTTTAATATACGTTAAATAAATAACGTCGGCTTCTCTTGAGTGCAAATTAACGTTGCAGCTTTTATTCCCGGGACGCGAAGTCAATGGCCCCCACGACTAATTGTAATGTATAGCACAGCTGCACTACGGTATTTTTTCCAAGTTTTATTTAATGCCTTTACCTTACCATACTTTTTGTTCAAACAACTAGAATTCGTGGGGTAGGTCATGACCGATTAAATCCCATGCGAATAAACTTGTATATAATATATGTATATTTATTAATCCTCACATTACGTGGCCAATGTGCATTCACTGGAACTAATGCCTTATCAGCTAACGTTTCCCATCCCTAAATAAGCGTTGAAGCGTTTTCTTATCCACTTTATATTCCTTGATCAAATGTTTTCATTGGTCCTTTATCGTCCTTTGATCTTGAGCCACTCGACTATGTTAAATCTTCGAGTTTGAAAAGGGTCGTAAAAGAAAAATGGTATACACTGATATGACTGCGAATAAAATTTCCTTGGTATCTCCTGAGGAATACGAAATTCACATACTGAAAAGGGATCGAAGTCGAAAGGATTAACATAATTAAAGCTTATGCAGAATTTTAAAGATTATTTGAAAATAAGTATTTTGCACGTTTACTTAAGTGAAATGCAGTACGTGACAGATACACGGGACATTCCCTTAGAATTAGCTGACGAAATGACTATTTTAATGCTTTCGCCTTTGAAATTCAATTGGAGCTTAAATAAATTGATGTCGAATAATGAACTCACGTATGGCTCGTTCACGAAATGAGATTACCTTAGATTCAATTAGGTTTCCTTGAGTGAAATTGGTAGTCTCATTGTAACTTTATTTCGGACAATTATTCGTATTAACTCAATATATGAGCAATATTCTATTTGCATAGGAATCAAAAAACTAATATTATTTAAACTACGTAATTGCTTTATAAAATTAGAAAATGTCTTGAAAGAAATTAATTTTTAATCTTAAAATAATAATTATCATTCGTGAAATACTTTTTATTAGTACGTCAATGGTATCACTTCTTTTCTTGTTACATTAGTGTATAATACGTATAAAAGTAGTGAAGTATATTACATCTTTTTTTTGAACTTCTTATAAAGCGGATGCTTTGACAGGGCCCAGAACAGGATGATCCAAAAAGGATAAACTTGAATTGGGTTTGAAGTGTTCGAAAATGATTATCTCATTCTCGCCAATTTTAAGTAACGGAGCTGGTAAATACAGGGTCTGTGGCGGACCCAAGTGGCAATATCTACCTAAATTAAATCCATTAATGAAAACGATCCCTTTAGACCACCCTGTTAAATCGATAAAAGTATCCTGAGCCTTAGTGATACATAAAATCACTTTTGAAAATGTAGGCCCTTTCTCCTCAAGAGCATTTCCTTGTTTCCAACCACTCAGCGAGTTAACCCACTTTTTATTAATTTCAAGAGCACATATTTCCCAGTTTGATAAAGCTTTGTCATCAAGCAAAACTGGACCGTCTCTCAGCCCTTTCCTCTGATCAAAATCAGATAAAACACCAAAGTTTACACGTCCCCAGTTTTCGACTATAATATCCAAGTCGTGTTCGCCTGCACTTTCTGATTTTAGGATTAGTTCTGGGTTTCTAAAAAAAAAACGTGTAATAGTAACTAATAACAAATATATTTATTCAACAAAAAATCTAAGAATATACTTACTCTGTTGACCAGTATCCAAACCCAGATATGTCATCTAAACTCTTTAACGGTTTAGTCTTAAGAATTCCATCGACGAGAACCATTGCTGTATCATGGATGTGACCAGAAATTTTTAAGCTTGATTCTTTACGCAGTGGTACTCTTTTTTTATAAATAACATAACCGTACGATTGACCACTTCCATTGTTAATTGGTAGATTCTCCATCGATACGACATCTGGCAAAGTTACTTTAGCGTCGGCACTCTGTATTGCGTCAAATTATGTGATCAATCTTATAAATTGAAGTGTAACGCTATTAAGAAAACTTTTGTATACGACTTACGATCTGATTTAAAATATCTCGATAAGTTAAATAAGCAACGACTTTCATTGTCGGATAAGCGACTTTTTGAGTTTCGGCAGGTAATTCAGGTAATCTTGTTTTGACTTTCTGATAACGCGCTAGTATCTCAATAGTTTTGTAATACTTTTCCGTATAATCTCCAGCTTCTGATAATGGAGCATCGTAATCTGTTGAGGTGAACGTTGACTTATATTATCAGTTTGTTTTCAAAATTGTAAAAGAAATACAACTTGTTATAATGGACACGTAACAATAATTTAGAAGGAGTTAATTGATATCAGATATCTTTAGCCTTGTAATCAATCCTAATTCATCTGAATTAGGTCAGCTCTTACCATAGCTTGTAACGTCCGGCTGATAATCGGTAAAGACGTTAGCACCATTCATAAATCCAAAATTCGTGCCACCGTGAAACATGTAAAAATTTACAGAAGATGGGAATTTCAAGATTCTCTCGAGAACGTCACAGTAAACTAAAAATGAATTTTTTGATAAATATTTGCATATTAACTCTTACATCAGAAGAAATTTTATGTACAAGTATCATGTCACTGTAGCGGCGCCAGTGACATCTTGGTAGCTTTGTATTCGGTTCTAACAGAATTAACTTCGGTTATAAATAAGTACAATAGCGTCCTACTTGCAACCGAAATTATTTGTGTTACAAGCCAATATGTCTACAGCGATTCAGCTGAAAAATATCGAGCACTATTATACCTTGTGGAGGTTCTGTATTGTGGTATTCCTCCAACCAATGATCAAACCAGCCCGTCCAATATTCCATGACCATAAGCGGTTTATCAGGCTGTAATTCTTTCAGTAACATAAATTCCCGCTCAGGCTCCTGCTTGAAATTAGCTGTTTGCAAAATGCCAGGTAAAGAACCAGCACTGCCATGAAGACTTGGTGTATCCGAAGTGAAGAACAATTCCACTAAATTATTTTTCACGAAAAGGTCTTTCAAAGCCTTCAAATACTCAAGATCTGGAATCGTACCATCCTCCATTATTGACCCGTACTCGTTTTCAATCTAATTCAATAAGATAATTAATAAAACTTTAGTAATATCATAAAGGTTAGTAAGTAATTAAGTATTTATTAAGTAAAGGATTTGGATCCTTGTATATTAAATTATAAATATGTTACCTGAAAAGCAATAATCGGCCCTCCTTTGGTAAACTGCAGTGGCGTCAGAAGCGGTAGAAGTTGATTGAAGTAATCAGTAACTCTTTTCATATATTTAGGATCTGACGTTCTTAATTTAAGATCCTTCTCATTAAGAAGCCAACTATGATGTACAGAATTGTTAATGCATCTCTATTGATATAATATTATACATAAAAAAAGTATTTTTACTGTACCTAGGAAGACCGCCGAAATCCCATTCTGCGCAGATATAAGGACCAGGCCTGACGATAACGAAGAGGTCCTCTTCGCGAGCCAATTGAATATATTTGACGATATTGAGAAATCCCGAAAAATCATTGTCCGCATCCCCAAAGTCGAATACGTCTCGTTGAGGCTCGTGCAAATTCCATGGGACGTAGCTAAGGAAAATATATATTCACTATACTCAGTATACTAAAGGTGAAAATTGAACTCAACGCAGGAATTGAATTACGGGACGTCAATCGAATCGTCAAGAGTGCGCACTTACGTTTCTACAGCATTTAATCCAGCGGCTCTCATTTTACGAAGTCTATCCCTCCAATAACCTGGCGGAACTCTAAAATAGTGCATTGCACCACTGTGCAACGTTATCTCTTTATTATTTAAATAAAATCCATCCTTCTTAGCAATCAATCCTGACGCTATAACGTGTGGCGCATAATACTCGTAAAGAGTTGGTAAACTCATGTTTATGGTGTCTGTGAAGAAAACAAAGTGATCTTTTTTAAAGATTAATAAGATACTAATAACAGTAATCACTGTCGGCAGAGAGTTGTACAGTAACGAAGTTTTCTCGTAGCTGTTTTTTATATTCATTTTCTTTCTACTACCTCTTGCCTTGAGCCGATTAATTTAATTTACTCCGTAGGAAAAAGTTCTATCCCCGTATTTCTGGAGGGAACTTAGAGAACGGAGACACCGTATTATCTTTTCTTAATAAACAGTTTTGCTCTTACCTCTGTTTCGCGAAGAGTCAGTCAATGCACTGTTCTATCGGGAACAATGCAAAAGTCTCTGATTGCTCTTATCATATCACTTTCTGTTCACAATATTCATAGTCTGTCCTCAAGACCTACCTTTATGAAGACCACCTCAAGGCGAGTTTCAAGATGACGATATAGATTCAAAATCAACAAACAAGATGATCTTCAGGCGAAGTCTGAAGCAGACTTTTATCAAGATCATCCTTTTTCCCCATGGTTTAGAATCGTATTTATTGAAAATAAAGAACGGATTAACCCATCAGCTATTGCGCTATCTTCCCAGTACATGGTCGCACGCTGAGAGATTCGCTCACGTGCCGTTATTAATAAATAGACTGGAATAAATCCAAATAAAAGGAGCTGATAAATTTTCACTAGAAAGGAATTTAGATGTTACAGAAATAATTTATTTAAACATGGAGAGTCCAGAGAGCACAGCTAATTGAATAAATTGTCACAGCGTTTTGGAAGTTGCCGACATTTAGCGAATAGTTCCAAAGGTGGCATTCTGCAATTTACTGTATGCGTGTGAGAAGAGACACTCGCAGTTTGCCGACAATTACAAAAACAGTTTTTTTATTAATCAAAAGATTTAAGAGAACTAATGAAATATCAAATTCGATTGATGGACATATTATTTGAAGATAGTAAAAGATATTAAAATTAGAGGTATTCATGACCTTTGAAATTTGAATGAAATATAAACTTAAGAAAAGGGATTTTCATAATGCTATCATTGACGGGTTAAGAATAACTAAATGCATAGTCGGTTGAGGTAACATTATTTAATGTTAAATTGATTATAAAGCTTTTAAAATGTAGTTAACCTAGCAGATGGAACTACTGGTTGTTCATCTTTTTTTTTTATTTCAGTGTTTCTTGCCACTTTATAATGCATAACTTGAAAAAGCTTTTTGTGTGAACGAATCGCTTTATATAGATACTAATCTTCTTTTTTTAGTTACTCAAAGTCTATCACTAAGCTGTAGGGGTCATTAAAGCTCCTATATAACTGTGGTTTCGAGGTTAGGATGAAAACCTATACGAATTACTCTCAAATATTATCTGATAAAGGACTAAGGAAAGATTAATCATGTACGTAGTAATGCATGTTTAGATATTAATGTAAAATATATTGTTAATCAATTACCTTTTTGCAGAAATTCGTCAGTTAAATTAGACTTCTTTTCATCGATTTTGTAGTGCTGATACCATTTGTCTTTGTTGCTTAACTGAGGATACACAATATGTACAAAATCAATTTATAAAGACTGGCGTGGTTTTTTTTGAAGATGAGCCAGCCAGAAGTGTCTCCTTATAAAGAGGAGCAAGATAATAGAAATACAGACACTAAAATTGGCTTTTTTGAAACAAATGGGTGCTCTGATATCGGTGGTGCTTTTCCACCCAATGAAGCCTGTGTTACAATTCTTGATGTTGTGTCTTTGGTGTTTTCGATTGTTACACATTTTCTTGATATGGGATTAGATATCAATCTGGCCATTAGATATTATCTTGATGGCCAAATTATGTATTTTGCTTGGACTCTTGCCTTTATTATATTTCCAAACGTTGTCATCACTATCATCAGTCTCAGAATGCAGTATCAGGATCGTGAAGTAAAATTACATATTTTGAAAATACATGGTCAGATATTTGGTCAATGTTGTAATTCATAATTTCTTGCTTCAGATGATCCCAGAGAATAGTATTCAACGTAGGGATATTATAGCAACAAGAGTATTTGCTCAGCGCAGATTATACTGCGAATTTCTTCTTCTGTGCCAAATGACACCCGTGCTACACTATTATGACAGTTTAATGTATGCTCTAAGATCTCGAAGTTATAAAAAAATGGGTAATCGCAAAGGAGAGAGGTATTATTATCTGAAAATGCTTAAAGAGGACCAAGATATAGCACTATTAAGAGTCTTTGAGTGTTTTCTTGAAGCAGCACCGCAACAAATTTTGCAAATTACTATTTTCCTCAGGGCTCGTGAAGAGAGATTTAGCTTTTCACGTATTTATCCTTGCATTATTTCTTCTTCTAAAACATCAGTGTTTTATATTTCTAACTATTAATATTTAAATCACTTCCTACAGTATTACATCAAGCTGCCAGTGTAATAAGCTCTCTAATAAGTATGGGATGGGCAATGGCAAGTTATCACCGAAATATCCGATTGGCGCAGCTTGACAAAACAAAAATTGATATAGTTGGAACCATCCTCCAATTTTTGTGGCACTTTTTCGTCACAGGTATGCAAGAATACGTCATTACTACTTTCATTTAACATTGTCCGCGATCGATAAACCATTTTTTTACTTTTTAGTATCAAGAATCATATCAGTGAGTGTAATAGCCAGTGTGTGGCCATTATATACAGCTATTGGCTATGCGCTACATTGGATTGCGATGACATCGTGGCTAGTCGCGGAGCCTTACGGAGTAACAGAATTTTGTCGGAATCGAAGTCACGCACCTCATACTCCCCTTACAATTAGAGCAAGAGTGGGTTCACTTTTGTTTGCCTGCGTACTTGGAATAGTCTATTTATTTACGTACTTAAATCCAACCGAGGGCCGAACATTTCTTAGGCATTTATTTTATTATATTGTGTGCTTATTTGAAAATGTTTTAGCTAGTATGTTGTGGGCTTTCGTATCGACGGATGAGGCACGTGCACATTGGTTTTTTAGAACTTTCGTAGCTCTTTGTATTGTACCTTTCCTGTTTGGAATTGCTGCCATGATTTCGTATTATAAATGGTTTCATCCTTCGACTAAACGAAAGACCACGACTACCATAATGCTCAAACCCAGCTGACATGATCAATAAGATAGCTGCACGTTACACATACATGTTAAAATAGTAGTAACAATGCTTATCTCTTCCAATTTGAGATTGAATGTAAATATAATAGGATCATAAATCCAAAAAGTGTATGTCGCTTCATAAGCGACAATTCGCTAAAATCAATGCTCGCAATTTTTTTTTAGCACGATGATAGATTTTAATATATTTATTTTTGTATATCATTTCACAGAAAACGGTGTTTTGATATTATTTATAAATAAAACAAATACGAAACAAAAAAACATAATACCATTGAATAAAATAATCACTTGAAACACTATCCCTTCGAGATAGTTACTTCTACATCTCCAATATGTGGTATTATGTACAAGGCATAATAAATATTATAGTTTGAACAGTTGTATATAAATGAATAAACAAGAAACTTTCACAATTTGACAGTTAAAGACATTTAAAGTAACTGTAAAATATGTATTATTAATTCGCTCAATAATAAAGCACTGCGCTCCAATACTTCATTATCGTATTAAACATGTGAGAGGAAAGAGATTAAAGTGCTGAGCGCAATCAATATCAGATAATAATTTAGGACATTGGAAATTGTACAAATTATAATTGCTTTGTATGTAAGATTGATTCATCAATCGACTGGATTCTGAACAACAATAAGTATAAATTCTTTATCCGGGGCAACCATCACTTCATGCTTCTTGCTACGTATACGTAAGAAAGTCAGATCATTTGTAGGATCCAAATCCCTTACGACAGAGCGTGCCTTGTCTGACAGCTGACTGATTAATCCAGCATATTGGACTGTGGTTGTGTTGTCCAAGGTTGATTTTATGGGAATACCTATGGTTATGGTACACAAAAATTTATAAGTTATACTATCCAATTATCAGCTACCCTGGATATACATATTTATATCACAGCGAAGATAGTATATTCATGTTATTCATAAGTATACATGTACTTTCATATAAATGCAGTTTTCTCAGCATAAAATACCTTCTGCATTGACGACAATTGTTCCAACCACTCCCTTGTGGGATTGGATGCGTTTCATAGTTTCTTCTACTTCCTGAGCCTGCAACACGAAACATATTAATATTTCTGTACAATATGATTCATCTTTACTTCATTTTTACCATCTTCAAATCTAAAATATCCAAATGAAATTTCGCCGATGAATTACACTGCGTACCAAAATCAAGTGTTTCCAAGGAAATCAAGGGCCAGTCTTTCTATGAAGCGTACAAATTTCTCATACCTGTCACTATAGGCTTAAGGCAGTTTCTATGACGTCAACACTGTCGAGTTGAATAGATTCACACGTGTTCGGTGTTTATATTTGTTAAGACAAGTTAAAGTTTTCTGTAATAAGAAATGTTGGAGGGTGATCAGGACCAGGAGGAGGATCAGGGTGGTTTGCGTAATGATGGAAGACGTGCTGCGGAATTAAGAAAGATTCGTGTTCGAATGGGTGTATTTGGACAGGCTGATGGTAGCGCGTACCTAGAGCAGGGTAATACAAAGATCCTGGTTGCTGTATATGGTCCTCATCAGGTACTGTAAATTAATGTTTATAAAATATTCTTAGAGACTGTGACTGTTGCATATTTACTATTAACCACGATTACCACATTTGTTCTAGCCGAGAGGCTCAGCTGCTCGAGCTGGTGGCAAGAATGTAGGAGGAATCATAAATTGTCAATACAGTACCGCAGTATTCAGCTTCAGTGCTGGTGAACGGAAAAGAAGACCTCGTGGAGATCGTAAATCTATTGAAAAGTCTCTTCAGTTACGTAGAGCCATGGAGTCAATTATTCAGTTGGATTTGTATCCTCGTTCACAAATAGATGTGTTTGTCGAAGTCTTACAGATTGATGGTAGTGAATATTGTGTTGCTGTTAATGCTGCGACTCTTGCTTTAATCGATGCAGGGATTCCCATCAAGGTATATGTTTACCTAATATTCATTAACTTGTTAATTCTTTAAAAACAGTGATATACTTTTTATCTTCTTTGTAGGATTATGCAATTGGATGCACAGCCAGCCTAATTGATTCTACATCTAAAAATGATGAAGACTCTTCACATGCAGCAGGTGTAGTTGACGCTACTTATATGGAGGAATGTTCTCCTGGTGCAACTTTATCTATAATTGCGTTACCTGGCTCAAGTAATGATGCAACCAAAGGTTTGGTGGTTGTAGCGCAAGGTGCGGGGCAAAGGTTACACTTGTCTAGACTGGAAGCCTTACGAAACCGTGCACTTTGTGGATGTCGCGATATCAGGAATATCCTGGATCGTGCTGTAAGGCAACACCTTACCGTTCACTCTCAACCATCGTTTAGTACGTTACATGTAATTGACTAATTTAGGTATCTGGTAAATTCAATGAGTACAACATAAAATTGTTTTAATATCTTTCTCCTTTCTATTTTGTTTCATACAAAAGTAAATAGACTATTTAAACTATTAACTAATTTTTAAAATATACATTATATTTTGCCATCTTGTTTCATCTGCTTGCTTTTAGATGAGTTACAGTAAATATGATGTAAAGTTAGTGCCACTTACAACTTTAAGGCACCCTTTCAGCAAATAATCGTACAGATCTTGTAACACTCTAAAGTTTCGCATCGGGATGTCTTTCCATTATCATACCGACACCCTGACCACCGGCAGCGCAGGCTGCGATTAATCCGAACTGTTGATTTTCCCGGATCATACGATTAGCAGTGTGCGATGCTAATCTGACACCAGTTGCAGCAAACGGATGTCCAATGGACAAGGATCCACCCCAGGCATTCCATTTGTTAAGATCGGGGACACCAACTTTTTCGTTTCGTTTTAGGTAATTTTTGGCAAACCACTCTGAATCCAGAGCCTTCAAATTCGACAAGATTTGTGCAGCAAATGCCTCGTGAACTTCCCAAACACCAATATCCTTCAAAGTTAAGCCTGCTTTATCCAAGACCTGTGGAATACAATTTGATCCATGATCGCAGAGTAATGTTATCTATACATTCAGATAGAATCGATATCGTACCTTGGGTATCGCGTAGGCTGGTCCCAATAGAAGCTGATCTATAGGATCTTGAGACACATAGGTAAAGTTTCTTAGATAAGCTTTTGGAGTGAGTCCAAGTTCTCGTGCCTTGTCCTCAGTCATAATAAGTGCTGCAGATGCGCCATCACTTAGGAAGGATGCATTAGCAGCAGTAACGGTGCCATAAGGTTTGACAAATGCAGGTTTCAGCTTAGCTAGCTGTTCTAGAGTAGATACTCGTACACCGTTATCCTTATTTATAACTGCTTCTACTCCTGGTACTTTGATGGGTATTAAATCAGAGAGATACCCTTTCTCATGAGCTTCTGCAGCGCGGGAATGAGAGAGTCGTGCGTATTCATCTTGCTCCGAACGAGAAACACTAAATGCTGCGGCTAATCTGTCACTGCTGTGACCCATAGTCTCCCCAGAAGAAAACTCTGCTACGCTTGGCAACTGTGTACATTGAAATCAATGTCTTAAGTAAGAATTCTTAATGTTTTAATTTATTATGATTATATTATCCAAATAGTTACGTCAGGTATAAAGTGCCCAGGACGAATGCTAGCCAATAGTGCCAGCTTTTGACCTGCAGTCTTTGCTCTGTTGGCTCGTAGCATCAAGGATCTCATACTACGGCTATGTCTGATAGGAATATCAGACATGAAATCCACTCCTCCAGCTACAATGACATCATATACACCGCAAGCAATCAAGCCCATACCAGTGGTTATTGCTTGGTTGCTACTGATGCAGGCCATAGTAACAGTATGTGCAGGAGTATGTTCACTGAAACCTGCTGCTAAAGCAGCTTCCCTAGCAATATTTGAGGTGCGCACTTCTTGTATTACTGTTCCATATGTGACATAGTCTACAACTTCCTTCGGAATACCAGTCCTTTTCAATAAATTACTGTCAAATATAATAATTAGCTGTCAGTATAGCTCAGTGGTTTTTGTAGTAAACTGATACCTTTAGTTATATGCTTACAGTAGTGTATCCTTTGCTAGCTCATAAGCCATCAATTTTTCATATTGAGTACCCGATTGCAAGAAGGGTGTCCGTACACCATCAATATATACAATATTTTTTCCACCTGGACTGACACGTTGGGTTGCATAGTTCATGCGAGTGTTCGTATTGGTTCCCCAAGTACAAGCAGCAGCTAGGAAGTAATAGTATTAACGTAATAGGATCATCAATTTAACATAAACCATATTTTCAAATAATATATTCAAAAATATATTATTAAATAAAACGTATTGGTGTAGTACAATTAATGATACGTAATTTATTTTGATTGTGCGGTTTTAAAAAATTATTATATCAGCTTATTTATTCTCGCTGTTGAGAATGAAAGTTTCTCAAATTGTACTTTGAACCGACCGAATTGTATCTTGCACACGTCTCATGCGACTAGAATTTAGCAATATTCTGTTAGTTAAAAATTAAACATTAATATAGGTAATTGTTAAGGAAAAGGAAACGATGTCTTACCTTGAGTTGCAGCACCCTGATTGATTCGCACAAAATTTCTTACAAGTAGACTTGTCATTTTTCCAATCTTATAAACACCTTCCAAGCGAAAACCAAAGTGATACGATCCTTGGACAATACACTACTGAATACTGTACTGTACATACACTGTACAGAGATGAGTGGGGAGATGCACAACGCTACGGTTTTAGACGATACTAAAATCATGGTGCTAAATCGTAGCGGCGAGTCTGGAAGTAGGATTTTGTGATCATCGCCTCCGTCGACAATGCGAATCCCGTCGTAGCCGAGCTAAATGTGAACACGAACGCATAGCTTGGCGGGCAGAGGTTCTCCGGCACTCACCGTTGGTTCCCAAAGCAACACTTAAAACGAGACCGGAACCTTAGAACTATAGAACTTCTCAAGAACTATTGAAGAAGCCTATTGTTGAAACATTTTAAAGACATTTTTAAGAAAGTGCAGTGCCAACTTGATACCCCTCTAGCACCTCATTTTTTACTAAATATTATTGGATCTTGATTTACTTTCAAAATTTATTCAAAATATAAAATTGAGGCTAAATCAAAATTTTGCAGAATATACGGATAGTAGATAAAAATTGAATTAAAATTGTGGAATGTCGAAAATAAATTACGTTCAAATTGAAATATTAATAAACTAGGTGTTTGAAACATGAAAATAATTAATTCAATCAATAAAGTAAAATATTAACACTTAGACATCGAAAATTCTGGCCAAGCATATTTAAAAGTACTGGAAGTTGCCCAAAATTGTGTACGCGAAAATTCGTCGCGCAGGGTTGAACGAATGCGAGCAGGAGGTTGGTGGGGGGAGCGCCTGAGGCAGTGCCCGGACTCGCAGCGCTCATTTTCGTAGTAAAATAAGATTGGTAATTAGGGAAACTAGATTCCTGATTGGTCAGATTCAGTCAGATTCCATTCATGAAAGGTTATCTGACTGTACGATTACATGATGACAGATTCTAACCAATAAGAGATAGGTTTTCTGAGTATTCGACTTGTGTACAACTGATCTGTACCACGTCTGTTCGATGTGGGATGGTAGTTCCAAAATGAATTAAGTGAATATTTTCTATAAATTCGACAAAGGATGGAAGGAAGACTGAGTTTCGTTTAAGTTTTAGTGTAAACCAATAAACTTATTCTTTTCTACTTAAAAAATTCACAATAGGTTGATCAAAATGCGGTATCTAATTTATTTAGTAATAAGTACTTTACTTGTGTATGGTTTGCCATACAGCACTGCACAAGATGATTTTTTCGATGAGGAGTTATTGTTAAAGCCATTAGCTAGTGGACACGTTTACGCATACTTCCAGTTTACCACTTTGTGGGAAGCTCCAAATAATGTACAAACATGTAAGCTAATTGAAACAATTTTCGTTTATTTATTGTTAATAATTTATTGTAATTTTCTAGTTCAACATTCCCACCTATTCCCCAGAGGATTAGGCGAAATTATTGGTCGGCATAAGGTTGATGAATTACATATCAGTTTGACCGAAGGTCTATGGAATTATGAAAAGTGGGGATATCCTGTTCATGATGCAGGATCTGGTGCTGAAATTTTTGCATGGTTCAACAAGAATGTATCAAAGTAGGTTATAGATTTACATACATACATTATAGTATATCAAATTCGTTTAAAGATTTTCATATCTTCTTTTTTGTATACAGTGTCAATAATGAATGGAAGAGCCTTACAAATGCATTGGCTGGGTTGTTTTGTGCCTCGTTAAACTTTGTTGACTCTTCAAACAGTATGTCTCCGGAATTCAGTTTCCGCCCTACTGGAATTGTTAAAGAACCACCAAACTCCAGCTATTTACGTTACTCTTCTCTACCCAGAGAAATTGTATGTACAGAAAATCTGACACCATTCAAAAAATTATTACCGTGTGATTCAAAGGTACAAATCATTTATTTTACAATAAAATGATACTCCTAACATTTATTCAAACTTGTATATATTTCTTTGTGAATCTTATTTTGTATTTTCAGAGAGGTTTGGCCACGCTATTAAATTCCGCGTATATACATAATACAAACTACCATTCTCTTGGTATACATTTTCGGTCAGTGTGCCGTAATGCAGGATGTACAAAATCATCTCTAGAATTGCGTCAAACAGTGTCCCTTGTTTACGACACCTTGACAGAAGCTACACAGGTAATTCAATTGTCAATCCACAGAATATTAATAATTTATTTAAATTTGTTATTATCTATGTAGGATTGGTCTATCCGTAAATTATTTGGCATTGGGATTAAAGGAGCTTGCCCTCTTGCTAGTCTAAGTAATGTGTATATTGACATGACAAGTAATGAAACTGTTCATGTCTATCAATTGACACCATCACCAAACACTAAAGTAACTAGCTTCCGCGGTGGACAACAGCAGCAATTAGCAGTGTACGATATACGAACTTATTCGAACAGAGGAATGTTTAATATAGCAGCTATTTATACGACACCCAAAACTAGTAGTGTAACTTATCCTTCTGTTTTATACGCCAATAGATATATAATTGGTAAGTGAAAATATTCTAAGATCAATGTATTTACTTAAGTAACATAATTTTTATAACTTTTCTTCTATTTCAGGGTATGGACAGGAAAGGGGTAGTTTAGTAACAAAATTGCACAACAATCATTGGCAATCATTGGATGTTATTTTGTTAGAAAACATTCCTTGGTACCTCCCAGTATATTTGCACACTGTCAAAGTTATTTGCAATGGTCAACAAATTAAGCCATGTAAGTTTTTATTTAAATTAGCACTGTAATGAAATATCAGTATTATATTCATAAATTTTCAGTGATACAACGTTACATGCCGGGAAGAGAGAGAACGCGACCATATTATTTAGAACTAGTCTTGCGATTACCACCACATTCAGTAACAAAGTTTTCAATAGAATTAGATTATTTATTCTTAAAGTGGCAAGAATATCCGCCAGATGCAAATCATGGTTTTTATATGGGTCCAGCTGTTATTACAGCTTTGTTGCCCATTGCAAGAAATTACACAGCCTTACCACTTGATGGAAGCACAATAACATCCAGGTATCTGATAATATATTACTCTTGGGAGACTGTTTATCGCAACTGGAACTTCTTTAAATTACTTAATTATCTTTTTAGTTTTAACGCATCTCGTAATGGCTATCTGGTACAGCTGAGAACAGAATCCCTGTTAATCAGTCTTCCAACACCAGATTTCAGTATGCCTTACAATGTTGTGTGTCTTGCATGTACTGCAGTGGCACTAGCTTTTGGTCCATTACACAACATCACAACAAAACGACTAGTCCTCAAGAATGTTACAAGAAATTGGAAGAAGAAGCTACTTTCCTTCGTTAAAAGATTGACCAAAGATACAAAGGACAAAACTGACTAAGCAATGTATTATATAATTACAATTAAATTTATAGTTAAGTTATGTACTGTACTGGGATAGTGTTAAATTAATATCTTTTAATGTACCATGTAACGTACTATTTCTTAGACAATTAAATAAGCAGTGCAGGAGAAAATAGTTGTAATAAAATTTATTCCTTATCAACAACCTGAAATTATAAGTTGCTCTGTTTTGCTTGTTACACATTAGAATCAATTTTGTCAAAAAATCATGAGCAGATTTTATCCTTTTCTATAGTAATAAATGATAAATTGTATCGATATATAACTTGTATTTAAAAATGTTTAGTCAGATTCAATTGTACAGTATTGACACCATTAAATTTACACCAGTTGCTCCAAATTCTTTTTTTTTTAAACTAGCAGGCTGTGCACACGTGAGACCACGAGTTCTATCGCAGCGCCACGATGTGGGCGTAACGAAAGCTTACCAGTCATATGATCGATTTGTGATTCCTGTCGCAAATCGTCGTTCTCTACGTTCGTCGTAAAGATGGCCAGCCAGACGCAGGGAATTCAACAGCTCCTGGCAGCGGAAAAGCGAGCCGCCGAGAAGGTTTCGGACGCCAGAAAACGTAAGTTGATCATCTAGTACAAAACGGAGAATAGTTTTACTAAAAATCTGTGTATTAGCAAATAACTTTTCTTGGAACATTCCACTTGACCCTATTCACTAGGAATGGGTGTAACCTTTTGGCAAATTGCTGACTGCTCCATTCTTACTTAATGAAGAAGATTAATAATTTCTACTACAAATCTCTATGTGACATGTTGTTTTAATGTCATGCTCTAAATGATTTTGTGCACGTAAATGATATTGTAATATCTTGTTCAGGTTGGGTGGGTCTAACCTTCGCTTTTCGTTAATGCGTATTTATGTCAAGACGGTTCATAAATATTTGAACAATATTGAGCACCAGGAATCGCTATTTTTAGTTTAAATTTTGCCAGTTGTTTAACTTTAATCATGTCTTCTCGTATAGCAAAAGTGGGTGTTACCCAGTTCTTGAGGATAAAACTTTGCTTTAAGTCAGTAACTAAAGGGATCCTTTAATAAGGCATTCCAAATAGAACATAATTTTAGATAGCTATTTAGAAAGGTAGTTTTCATTCATGAAATATGCTTATATAAATCTCTAATTCGAACCCTAGGTAAAGCCCGTAGGCTGAAACAAGCAAAGGAAGAAGCTCAAGACGAGATTGAAAAGTACAGGCAGGAGCGTGAGAAGCAATTCCGTGAATTTGAAGCCAAGGTAAAGTAATTTTATTTTCATAAATATCAAAAAATGTCTACATTGAAATGTGTATGTCTTTAAATATGTTTTTAACAAATATAGCTGCAAGAATCTTATCAGATTGTCATTTATGAAATGCACTGGGGATCATGTAGAAATAGTTTTTATAAAAAACTGATAACTTATAATTTCAATCATATGTCAGCCAAAGTTTTCATTATAAATCAACGAATAATTGTCCTGTGTAGCATATGGGTTCAAAAGAGGATGTAGCTGCACGTATCGATGCTGATACTCGAGTTAAGATCGAAGAAATGAATCGAGCTGTGGCTGTACACAAAGATCCTGTAAGTTATTTTTTCTTCACAAATATTTCTAGATAATAAGGTAATCAAACTTATGTTAACAAATTGTCATTATTCCAATTGTAAACTTTGCAAGCACAATGATTCAAAAATCATGTGCAATCACTACACAGTTTCATATTTCTAACTCACTACCTGTATAATATAGGTCATGCTTAAGATCTTGGAGTTGGTCTACGACATTAAGCCGGAGTTACACAAGAACTATCGTGAAGCTTAAACCACAAAATGAGCCTCCCTGCATACGATAATTATAAATACTATATTATATGATATACATGTACATTAAATATTATCTTCCTATATATATATATCATACCTTGCAATGTATGTATCTATCGTCGTTCTAATGTATTTAATTCAAAAGGATAGTATACTGTTTAGCTTTAGACGGTGATACTCAAACTCCTAGAAACATCTCCGCTGTTGCACGCAGTGACCTTTCATCCACCAGTCGACACGACAATAAATGTAATCGTAATCTATATGTTATCACCGCATCCGCTATCATCGCGATGGATAGTTTGAGCATTGCTATAGTTGTACCGTAAAAAAAAAAGATTATATTTAACGGAAACGCCGCGTCCTGGTGCGCAAAGGCCTAGTACGCACTAGGACGCTGCATAGTCGCTAAGATATATATTGAAAATGATTCTAGGGTGGTGGCTATGAATTGTATATTGTTAGACGTATCTTAGTAGGTGTCATTCCATGTTTCTGTAACGCCGAGGATTATACAAATCTTTTCACATTAATTAGTACAGCCTCTCGCGGTTCACGGTGCCAGCTCCCGGTAATTCGAGGACCACTAGACGATGTACGATACCTTTTGCCTTTGATTTGCCGCTGTTCGAACCTCTTAAAACTTTGTTATGTAAGAAATTCGATAGCCCTACCTCAAGCGTACACCTTACCTCTGTAAGTTGTCTGGCTGTCTGTACAGTATTAGTGTTCGAAATAAAACTGAAAAAAACATGGTAAAATGTCCAGAAAAAAATGGGAATTCACGATAATCTTTGATCTTCATTCAAATATGCTTGTATCTTATGCTATAAAAAAGAAAATTTGCATAGGCAGTTCTGTCGCATAATAAACTACGGAAATGAATGCCCATCCAATTTCTGATTGGATTCAATTTACACGATTACGCAACGAGCACATATTATCTAGTGTCCTTCAAGCATTTTAATACTACCGCCGTGCAATAGTCATGCGCAGTAAGATTTCCGTGATACATCAGGCTGTGCATAGATACCACCACGTGATAGCCAGGTAAAAAAGAACGGATCAGCTGTGTACATATACATATGTTCTGCTTAATTCGCATTAACGACTAAAAACTACATTGCCGTCAGACAGCATCGTATTGATTCTCGAAACATTCATAATGTACCGAGATAATAAGGACAACCATTATTGGACTTCTGGATTTCATTTCAAATGTCATTAAGTGTTGAGAGTTGTTTCGAAATTCAAAGTTCTCAAACCAGCCCGCGATTTCTATTGCGCATGCGTAGCACTGTTTCAATACTATACGACGAAGCTTATTGGTTTGTTCTATCCAGCTTCATGCGGATTGGTTTACCGAGAGGAGTGGGTGATGGTTTACCAGTTGGTAGTGGAGAATCAGCTGTGAACGCCTACCTCTCCTCAATCGGCGAGTTGAGCTCGCGGATGGTGGTTTAGTACGTGTCGGGGCACTAGCGCCATTCGATAACTACGGAAGGTTTTTCAATTTCGCGAACTAATCGCAGTCTGTGTCATTCCGCTCCGAGAAATGGAAGTCGACGAAACGCGTTCGGGCAATACGAGCGCGAGCACGTTGCCGTACGACGCTACAAGTGAGGACGCAGTGACAGTTGTGTTCGGGTTGGCATTTTAACCTGTTATGACAAAAAACGAACCGGTAACCGGTCGCCGACCGACCGCGAATCCGGAGGGAAAAGCTTAGATCATACGTCGCGAGTCGTGAGCTGTGTTTGGTTCGGTTTTTATTTTGTTATTAAACATCATCGACAAGGAAGCTTCGCCGAGGCGATATATCACTTGAAGCAGAGCCGTTACGACCAGAAAAAATGTGGTGCCTCGTGAGTCAGGCAAACTCCGTCATCCTGGAGGTACAGGTCGATCCGAAAGCCATCGGTCAGGAGTGTCTGGAGAAGGTGAGTTATTATGATTTATTTAAGAAAAAAGTAGTTTACTAAGTACAAATTATTACGTAAGAATGTCATTGCTGCAGAGAGAATAATTCAGTAAAAAAATTACTTGACTGGTTTTTCCTTTGACAAAGAAGCCACTAGCTATCTTGTTGAGATGTAAACAAAAACAGAGCCACGTTATCGCTAGAGGAACTTGAAGGAGGTCGTAGGCGTGCTTGAAGAATCACTCTGCAGTTAGGTACAGTCCTTGGCGATAATATTATCGAACACCGTATACGATACTTATGGCTAGGATTAAAGTTCGTTGATCGGACGAGGAATGCTACACCACGTCTCTGGGAGAGATGGCTGGGATCTACGCCTAACGACGTCGGTGTAAACGGCACTGCAAGGTCGTAACTCATATGCGCAACAGATGCCCCGAGAGTTGCCCCTGTGCTCGTCAGCAAACCCGTCGGAAATTTCAACTCCCTTTATTCCTCGTGAAGGATACCGCGTGTGGTCCATCTATAGAGCATGCCTCGTAGAGGACGCTGCATATTTAAATGACACAAGCATTTGAGCCAATGGCGACTAAGGATCCGTATGTTGGTACCATTTTTTTTTTCGTAGGTTGAACGACCCCCTGGTCGTAGGGTGTTATTCATAACCGAAGGTTACACATATGCGTATCTTTACCCTCGAGGGAGGGACAACTATCTTAATTCAGAGGAATCTCATTTAATTTCAACTGCGTCCAACTATCATTGACTCGCAAGCGGGTGCGTAATTTTTTTTGACTCAAATTATCACCTAGGCACACCCCGAACCACGATGAGGTCCAAGACACCTAACGCGACTACTGGCGGGCTAAGATCATCGCTTTAATGCGATTACGGTGTTAGGACTCTAATTCGATCGATAATATCTACCAGGAATAACCGCGAAGGGCGTCTTCCTCGTGGAATAATTTCTCCTCGATTCCCATTGGGGATAGCTCGAAGTTTTATCGTTGTCGAAGATCGATCGACGTTCTTGAGGACCTTCGAGTCTCTTAGCGAAGATAATATCGCTGGATTTAATCGCCATAGACATTATATAATAGAGGAATAATTCGAATCGTCCTTATAAGGTACTACGAGGACCTCAGGATATATTCTCGGTCTTCTCATCTCCAAGTACCATCGAATTTCTCTCGCTCGATTAATCTGCATTTGACTGAATTTATCTTCTCTCGGTTTTGGTGGATCTCTCATCTCGTAATTTGCTCGGGGCTCAATCTTTCTGAAATTCCTTAAAGCCAACGTCGCAGAAATAACTGCCGAGGACACCGTCGACCGAAATAATTCGTTTCTCCAGGGTTGACCTTGATAATTGCCAAGGTCCCTTGAACGGCTCAGGTTTGATACAACAAAAACGTTAAGAGAATAGACGTGCGTGAATATTAATATTTGAATATCACACGACAAGTACTACCAAAGCCTGGCATTGGTCGGTAGAAATTATTCGAATTGTGCAATCGGCTTAATAACGAGTCCATGGCGTTACGGTACTGCAAAAGTAATTAGGTTAATACCGTGATGAGGTCAGATATAAATAATTATTAATTCAGTATACCTGTGAAACTATTTCTTTCCTCTTTTTTTTTTAATTACAACACGCTAATGGAAATTGATAATTTATTATTTGAATTACCCGCCGAAAACGTTGCTACAGGCTGTTTCAGTTAGCCGAGTGTAACAAGGTCTCTCGTGTCAGCAGCAGACGCTTTCTATACGACGTGTGTATTACGCGTTCGTAATTCCAAGTTGATGACTGCTCCTGAGGACAATGATCACACGAATATGTGGAACATAACCTAGCTATTCGTGCGATTTCACTGTTCCTCGTGTTATTGCGTGATATTCCACGTTTGAACGAGGATAAATTGCTGACGGGTAAAACGGTTGGCGTTTGTCTATTTTTTTTTTTTAATTTCGCGTTTTATTTTCAACACGAGTTAGGTAGCATTAAACTTTAATCAGGCTACGCTCAGTAATTTATCCATCATCCTTATCACTGGACGCTGTTTATTCGTGCATGTTAATAAATGCACGTTTCAATAAACTCGCGTAAGTGTCTCCCGGGCGGACATCGTGGGTACTAAAATATCTGTCTAGTCCTCGTAGACGGAAACCTTGCATTCTGTCTTCTGCGTCGATATCCTGTACCCGGTCCCGGGAAATTAGGTCGAAATTTACCAGAATTCAATCTGCCAATTCAATTTGCCGGCTTTGTGCTCCACGACTCGATCCGATCGTCTCGTCGTTTGCGAGATCTAATTTGCGTTCAAAACCTATCT